CCAGCCCCCAATATTTTTTTTTTTTTTTAATTTACTTTTTGGTGGAACCGGGGATTGAACACAGGCCCTTGCACCTGCCAGGTCAGTACTTATTCTACTGAGCTATCTCCCCAGCCCCCAGTGTTTTAAATATTTGCGATTTTTTTACTCACACTTTATAACTACATCACAATGCAGAACTTGCCTGCTTCCTGCAGCTCTCTGCAAAGAGCAGAAGGCAACAAATGAGTAACACAAGTCCCGTGGTCAGCGCTGACCTGGCAGTTTGTTCTGCCGCCCTTCAGCAATTTTAAAGAAAAGATAATGAAACAAGGCAGGAGGGGTCCACAGCACCTGCACCATCCACCTCTTTGCAATTTCAGAGCACCAGTTAAATGGTAGGAAAAAAGGGAGGAGTGGGGTGTACAGAGAGGGTAGAGAAGGAGGGCGGGCCCAGAGGCTGAAATGACGAACACAGCAAGGCTTCCTTGCATGTGCACGTCATGACTGACTTTCTACTTTTCTTCCTTCAGTGAATGGTCACCCACGACAACATGGAATGCTCAAGAAGGCAGGATCTGTGGCTTTTCCAGAGTCCTACAAACGGCAACCCTTTGGCAAATTTTAGTACTTAATCCCTCCCTCCCCCCATACTTGTGATTGAACCTGGGACCTTGTGCTGGTAGGTAAGTACTCTACCACTGAGCCACATCCCTGGCCATTTTTATGTTGAGGATGGAATCCCACTAAATCACTCAGGCTGGTCTCAAAATGCTCCTGCTTCAGCCTCGTGAGTAGCAGGGATTTACAGGCATTCACTACCACTCCCAACTGTAATTCTTCATTAGACAGACAGGCTTTTAAATTTCGTTCTACACCAGTGAGCAAGCTGCCGAGTATGGAGGACCAGCTGGTGACTCCCCTGGAAGGACAGGCCACTGTCCCCATGGTGGCTGAGCCTGACCCTACTCCCAAGTGCTGACATGGACAGGGCTCACAAGGACCTCTCCTTATCCCTTCAACTGGCGTTAAGCCATCAGCATCGGTCCAGCCAAAGTGCTGATCACGTTTCCCGGGAGCCCCCACTTGCTGCTCCCGAGTGTGAGTCGGGTCAAGAAGGGATGAAGAACCAATGTTCCGAGCTGTCTGTTGGCTGGGATAGAGCTATGGCTGCGGGGGCTTGAGAGGTTACACAGCAGAGCTGAGGCGCCAACCCCTACACATGAGACGCCATCCCAACGGTGTCATGTAGCTCACTGTCTGCGTGCCCCTCTGTGCATACGTAGAAGTGGATGCAGGCCTCCTGCCCAGCCCAGCTCGTGGCCCTCACCTCCTTCCCGCCATTCTCAGTCACTCATCCTCAAGCCACTCCTTTCTTCATCAATGAATAAAACGCAGGTTGGGCCCTGGGTGGCGGCCTTTGTCCCGGATGGCCACCATCATGGCTGGGCTTAGGACCCGTCCTCCCTAACTACAAATATACCTTGGTGTCTCTATTCTCACCATGGGTTGCACTGGGTGTGGCAGACTAGAATTAACTCACTAGAATTCTAGTAACTTTTCATCGGATTATAAATATAAAGCTCCTGGACAGCAACAAGGACCAGGATAATAGTGAATATTTTATAAATACTAAAACAGGTTTGTAACAGTCGACTTAACATTTTTTTCCCCCAGTAGCAGTGACTGAACTAAGGCCTTGCACTTGCCAGGCAGGCACTTAAGCTGCTGAGCAATACTCCCCAGCTCAACTTACGCTTTTAAATGTGGGCCATGAAACTGCTACAGGTCTCAGTTCTGACTTCCACTGTGGTTTCTTTGTCTTTTTCTTTTCTTTTTTAAAGCTTGTTAGGTCTTTCTGTTGAAGTCAGACTGCAAGCTCTGAGGGATCCTAAAACTTACGAGATTGAATCCTCATTTAAAATATTCATAGAAGGAGCCGGGGTGTAGGGAGCTGCGTGTAGTGGCACCCTAGGATGGCGCAGGTTTCCGCCTTCCACCCCCTCGGGGGTGAGCGCTCCTGGTAATCAACAACTCCATAAAATGCCAAGGCTTGGGCTAATGCATTGCTTCCGCGTACCTGGACCAATGGACGGTACACACGTGGCGCCCCATGGTTGGAAGCCCTGAGACTTATAAGCTAAGAGCAGGGGCCTCG